TTTTTTTTTCTCTTTTTAAAATGAAATGGCTTAGAGCTTCAACACTAATGCCATTATTTTAGAGAGATGCTTTCAGTGTTAGATGTAGTGTACTTATTAAGTATGTCTGGATAATGGTAGGAAAAATTAAATTGTATACCATCTTTGGTTTGATCAGATCTCAGCAGTTCCATTAGCTATGAGAGTGGCTGGTTGATACTTCAGTAATTTTCTGTAATAAGGAACTTAGTTTTCTGACTTATTCACCTCAACTCATCGTCCCAAAAGTAAGTTATAGGTTTTCTGAGGAACTTTATTGTAACTCAGAAACCCTACTTTAAGCAATGAGGAGCTTTACGTGTAGAATAGGGTAATCAAATATGCCTGTAAAATAGCAGGCGTTGTTGGCAGTCAGTATGACAGTGATATATGTGCCCAAGAACATGTAAACAGTGCTAAGCAGGGTCAGACAAGCATTTTTACTGTGCTGAATCATTGCGTGTGTCTGGCAGGGGCTGTGTTGTAAGTGCTTCAGACAGTCTGAGCCCCCTCTTGCCATGGGGCAGGGCTGTGCTGGGGGACAGTCTGTCGGCGCTCCCGTGCTTGGCTGAGGGACAGCAGCGATGGCCCCATGGACAACTGGCTGGAGAGGAGGAGAGGCGAAGCTGGGCTCCTGACGCAGTGTATTCCCGTGGGATGTTCGTGTCTCCCCTGTTGTCTCTCTTTGGTCATGAAAAGGCTTTATTCTTTCACACAGCCGTATTGCTGAGCAAAGTAAAAAAGGTGGCTTTACTAGTCAAGCTGAACAAATAGCTGATGGAAGCAGTCACTTATGATGTCAAGTTACTTTGCCTTGGATTGCATTGTCCTTCAAAAGCTTTTTCTTTTTTTTTTCTTCCCCCTGTCTTACTCACACTGTGAGTAAAGCTTCCAGACAGTTCTAGTATATCGTAGAACAGCCCAGGTTGGAAAGGACCTCAGAGATGATCTGATCCACCCTTTGGTGGGAAAAGGAACCTAGGTGAGATTACCTAGCACCTTGTCTGGTTACACCTTGAAAACCTACTGTGTCCTTGGGGACGTTGTCCCAGTGATTGATTGCTCTCACTGTAAAAAATAAATAAATCATATATATACATATGTAGATATAGTCAGCTGCATCGTATAAAACTGAAGGTCCCTTTGCTTCCTTGGTAGTCATTTACGTGACCGGTGCCTGTTACATTTCATCTCCTTCTACCATCTTTCAGTAAGGGTATTTTTAAAGTTTTAACTGCTGAAATGAGTTGTGCAGTGACACAGCGAGTGGGGACAGGGACAGTGAGATGCCTCTTTGCAGCACAGCCTTGTAACTTGGTAAAAGGAAGGAGGCACAGCTCAGTTCCTCTGGCACTCTTGTGAGAAACCTGTATCCGATGGGTCAGCTGGGAAGTGCGGCGTTACTGGACTGCACTACAGCTTCTTTTGCAGCTTGTTCAGAGCTGTGTCATGTACACTCTTTAAAATTGCCTGCATACCTCAGCACATTGCTGGCTTTAGTGGAACAACATGTGGTTCAGTGCTGATGGGAATACCATCCTGCATAATATTCGACTGTTAAGTTTCTTCCAGCCACGTATTTTATTTTAACTGTTTGGTGCTGAATGCAGCAGAAGTTGGACACATAAAAGTCAGAGTGTTAGATTGACTCTTCAGTTTTAATGAGCTGGGGGGAAATTTAATTTGCTGGCCTGCTTTTCCAAGCCTGTGCCAGAGACTTTTGGCAGAAAGGGAAGATTAATGTTAGTGGGCTGAAGTATGGCACTGATTGCTACAGAGCGCTCCAGGCCAACCCACCAGTGGGACCGTGCTGTGATTTGCAGTACAAGGGAAGGCTTTGTCCACTTTTATCAAACGCCACATTTCCAACTAGCTACTTGCCAGAAAAGCACAGCAGGCATGCTAGAAATAGCCTTTCCCCGGCAAGGGAACTACTTCCGTGAGAGGCAGGGCTAAATGAATTTTCCTCTGTTGCTCTGGAGAACGGATTCTGTGCATTATTCTTCGTAACTGAAAATTTCTTTTACAAAGATACTCTTTTAAGCAACTATCTGCAAAAGTTATGAAAGCCAAACTTCTGTTGGGACTATAACTAGTCTTTGTAGGGTTTTTTTGGGGAGATGAACCAAAAGAAGAACAAATCACTTAAATCAAAGACCAGATTGCCCGATTTAACTATTTTAAGCAAAGTATAAAAAGTTGTAGTTAAATGGTGAAAATTAATTTGGATGAACAGGGGACTTGTAAAAATCACTAGCCGTATGGGGATTTGGACTTGAAGTGATTAGTTTAGAATTAAAGTAGTAAGCTTTTGAGAAATCTGTAAGAGAAACCTTTGTAAAGTATGATTTGCTGAGTATCTCATGAAAACAACACTTCTTTCTTTTTATATGCTGTAAATACTCGCCCTTTCCCTGGCTAGCAAGGGCAGGTGGCAGATGGATGTAGGTGTTTGAGTCTGTGAGCTTCTTGGGCTAATTGCATAGAATCATAGAATGGTTTGGGTTGGAAGGGACCTTAAAGATCATCCAGTTCCAACCCCCCTGCCATCAGCAGGGACACCTTCCACTAGATCAGGTTGCTCAAAGCCTCATCCAGCCTGGCCTTAAACACTTCCAGGGAGGGGGCATCCACAACTTCCTTGGGCAACCTGTTCCAGTGTCTGACCACCCTCACAGTGAAAAACTTCTTCCTAATATCTAATCTAAACCTCCCCTCTTTCAGTTTAAACCCATTTCCCCTTGTTTTGTCATTAGTTGTCCTTATGAAAAGTCCCTCCCCAGCTTTCTTGTAGGTCTCCTTCAGGTATTGGAAGGTGCTATAAGATCTCCCCGGAGCCTTCTCTTCTCCAGGCTGAACAGCCCCAGCTCTCTCAGCCTGTCTTCATAGGAGAGGTGCTCCAGCCCTCGCATCATCCTGGTGGCTCTTCTCTGGACTTGTTCTAACTGGTCCATGTCTTTCTTATGTTGGGGGCTCCGGAACTGGACGCAGTACTCCAGGTGGGGCCTTACAAGAGCGGAGTAGAGGGGCAGAATCACCTCCCTCGACCTGCTGCATCACACGGGGTCACTGTGCTGAGGGGCTCTGTGGTCCCTGAGCCTACACAGGCAAGGCTACACGAGTCCTGTTGGGAGCCGATAAAATTTGTGAAGTGCTGAGCGAAGGGGGTGGTTATTGCTAGCAAGAACCATTATTGTCTTCTCAAGGGATAGAAAAGTGACTCTAAGTGAAAGTACTCATGTAATTTTATTAATAGCTATCATTCTGGCCTCAGTTCACCTCTTGCATGCTTCATTAACTTGTGTAATGCCATTGCCTTTCCTACAGTCATTACTGCCTCATGCTGGTGAAAGTGAGAAAAGCTTGAGCTATAACTTGGTGTTTGGATTTTCTCAGGTATTGGAGCGTGAGGTGAACCATAGCTTCCTGACTGTGTGCACTGCTGGCTTGTGTCTGATCTCGTTCCTTAGTTGTCTTTTACTGCTAAATTGAGGGAGTCTTTTTCTTTTTTTTTTTTTTCTCTTCTCTCCCTCCCCTCTTCAGCATCAGTGCCTGCTGTTACGTTTGGTGTGGGCTGTGGGGGTTTTGGGGCTTTTTTAGGGTTTTTTTTTTACCTCGAAAGGCGAGTGATTTCCCACAAGGGTGTCTCTTGGGAACTGTATAACTTTAAGCCCTGTCATGGGATGGTGGTGCCAGGAAAGGTGGAAAGTTGCTGGCAGGAATGAGGCAGTGCAGGATGCAGCTTTTGGAAGGAATAATCCTTGTTGTGTTCCTCGTCCTCTCTCCTGTGGCAGAAAGGAGGAGCTGAGACTATGGAAGAAAAGGTGCGGGATGCTGCCTGTGTCTACACAGGAGGACTTTAGGGGTCTTTGGGGTAACAGTGAGACGTGCACAAGAGTGTAGCCATATTCTTCACTAGAGATGAGTGTCTTTCCTCTAGACGTCTAAGAGAAGTGGGCAGTGCTGATGTGTTGGCTGTGTAACTAACTGCTTTGTAGACAAGGCTGCACTTGCCATATTCCACGGTTTTCCCATTTAAGACTGGTTTCATTGCACCTGTGTTCCAGGAATGCAGCTGTCTCTGCTTGTATGGGGATCCAGCACAAATGGGTTGAGCTGAATGCAGTGGGTGAGATAGCTCGTTTGTTTATATGTATTTTCTGTCCCTTTTATCTCCATAAAGCAGAACAAATCTGGCTTTTGACTATGAACCGCCAAATTTGGCTGAATGAGTCGGCAGAGCACAGCTTTCTGAATGCTTGTGAAGATCTGACTGGTGAATGAATGATGGTTGTCTGAATGAATTGCATTTATCAAGTTATGACAAATCAACATGTTTTCCTCTAGTTCAAGATTTATTTTTTCGTTGTTGCCAACTGCAGTTACTGAGCTGTTTGAAAATGATTATTCCTTCTCTTTCCTTCTAAAGGGTCTGGAATTGTACTTGCACACAAGGCTGATATACCCTCAACAGAGGTTTCTCCTCCAAGTCCCAGTCCTCTGAAAAAAAGTGGATCAATCAACTGGCCTTTCCCTGATAGAATTAAATCTCCCAGGACTGTGAGGAAGCTTTCCATGAAAATGAAAAAGCTGCCAGAGCTGAGCAGGAAACTGAGTGTCAAGGGTACGACAAGCCATAGTAATTCAGATAACCCTCCTTCACTGCTGAAAGGTAGCTGCCGGGATACAAGCCATACAGTGTCTTTGCCGTCTTCTGGAAACTCAGCCACCACTGCCAGCAGAAAAAAAACGTTACCATCTTGACAGCAGTGTGTCGTCACAGCACACCTACAAAAAGAAAAGCTCAAGGAGCTCCAAGTCCTTCAACAAAGGTGGTTATCTCAGTGATGGTGACTCTCCTGAACTTATAACAAAATCAGGTAAACATGGGCATGAAACCAAGTGTGGGAAAGGAAAGGAAAGCCTTCCAAGTAACAGTGGTAAAACTGAAATAGATATTGATGCTTTCAGACACTATAACTTTTCTGATCAACCCAAGTGCTCTCAGTATATCTCTGGACTCATGAGCATTCACTTTTATGGTGCTGAAGACTTAAAACCACCAAGAATAGACTCAAAAGATGTCTTTTGTGCAATACAGGTTGACTCAGTAAACAAAGCAAGAACAGCCCTGCTTACATGTAGGACAACATTTCTAGATATGGACCACACGTTCAACATAGAAATTGAAAATGCTCAGCACTTAAAGCTGGTGGTGTTCAGCTGGGAACCCACCCCACGGAAAAATCGTGTGTGTTGTCATGGAACTGTTGCTCTTCCCACTCTCTTCCGAGTGACAAAGACACATCAGCTGGCTGTCAAACTGGAACCAAGGGGGCTTATTTACGTCAAGCTGTCGCTCATGGAGCAGTGGGAGAACTCTCTTGATGGTCTTGATGCAGATCGGGAGCCTGTGATGTTCGGGGTAGATGCTCGAAAAGTTGTAGAGAAAGAAAATGCGGGCTTGATGGTGCCACTTTTGATGCAGAAATGCATTCTGGAGATTGAAAAGAGAGGCTGTCAGGTGCTGTGCATATTTTAATCTGTTTTGTTGATATTTCTGTGTTGGGATAGCTGTTGTTGCAGAGCATGAGCAGTGAGGGGGGAAAAGGGGAAATTAAAAACACTTTTACTTGTCACTTTTTACTTTGCTGCTGCCGTTTGGTGAATATTGCAATGTGGTAAGAATAACAGGACTGTGTGAAATCAGTGCTTCCAAGTCAACCTTTGTGAAGGAAATACATGCTTGCTCACAGTTGTGCTTTAGGACTAAAGGTAGTGAAATGATCCTGCAGATCCCAGCATGTAGTTGCCCTCAAAAAGCAGAGCTGAGAACTCGAAAATGCCTGATTCCTGAGAGACAGGTCACTCCATGAAGACATGTTGTATCTATCTGCAAATATAAGAGTTTAGTGTTCCCTCCTACCCAAAACCGAGGCACCATGGGCAGTGACACAAAGTGATGAGAATGGGTCTTTTGACAAAACTTCACTCACGTGTGTGCAGTCTCAAGCAAGCGTGACAGAGACTCATCTTTGCCTTCACTTTGGTCGTACACAGAGTTGAGAGGAGGAGGAGGCACTGAGGGCTGAATTGTTTCCCTGTGCCACTGCTGCTTGCCTTTCTTCGTGTTTTCAGAATTAGGACAGGAGGTGAATGCTGTAAAGCAGCCCTGCCCAGTGCCTTCTCTTCATTCTAATACAGTTTATTGGTTGATATAACTTAATGGACAAAAATATGTATAAGAAATAAGGTGTGGAAACCAATCCTCAGTTACAGATGCTAGACATGAAGTCTCTTAGGATTAAAGTGCCTAGTCCTAAGGTCACACATTCCCCTTGGCAATTAATTTGAAGGTGGTGGGAGGACTCTTGTGTGCAGTTCCACAGCATGTGTGAGCCCCAGGTTTCTTTTACACCTGTTCTTGCTCTGGTGAAATTGAGACGTAATCACACCTACCACTGTTGCTATTTTAAATTGCTGACAGGTTGGATGTAGTTCCAGGTGTTATGAGATTAACTCTGCTATTTATAACCTAGGTCATAAAATATAGACAGAAAATATATTTCTGTGTAATTACTTTGCTGGAGGTCACTACTGATAACTGCACGATTCTTAACTGTGAATACTTCTCCTAACATTATGCAAATCAGTGGAAAATTGAAGTTTTATTCTTTCCAATGTATGTGTCCCATGGTTTCACCATTTAATTTTGGGCTTATCAGTACCTAGTCATGCAAATGATATTGGGTAATCAAAGCAACACTGGTAGTGAAGCGATCGGGATCTGAATTGTCTGAATGTACCTGGTGCTTTTGAGCATGAAATCTGATTTGTGTATTTGCACAAGGAGAACCAAAAATGCAAAATATACTGTTAACTTGTTTTAGCCATGTGCTTGTCTGACATCTTTGACTTTCCTGTAGGCTGCAGGCTGCTGGCATGGTATGGCATCTCCACCTGAATTTCAGATGTGGGATTAGACAACTTTAGAGTGAAAAGAAATAATCTTGGGCAAATGCTAGATCATATTTGGTCTTGGGAAAGAGGGAGTACAAATTCTATTGGGTAACTTTCAATTTATTTTAACAGGAATTAATGTATGGCCAGATAAACACTTCTGTTTGCAAACCTAGATTCATATGGTCTAAGTCAGTACAGTCTAAGTCAGGGTTTCTTTTGTGGGTTTTTTTGTGTTGTTTGTGTCCATGGTGGTTTTGGACTAGCTATTTACTGCTCAGTACCCCTGCCTATAAAGTTAATTAAAATAAAGTAAAATTAATATAATTAAGGTATAGTTCCTTAATATCACAGGAGCCCTTTGTATAAGTGGTGGTGTTGAAAATAAAAAGTAGAAAATGATAAAATGCAAAATTTGAGTGCATGAAATCACATGATTGAACTAGTAATTTAGTCCAGGAGTGGTGTGGGTTTAATTCCTTTCACCTTGAGCATAATAAATAACCCCTGCTTTGCATAAAACTTTTCATACAATTTGAAGCACTTGCAAGTCAGCATCTTGTCATCTTTAAAACAGCATCTTATGGATGTAATAATGGAGTATTCATAATTTGCTTGAAACCCTGGTTACTGGTATCAAATATAATATAAATTTTGTTTATTATCTAGCTTATTCTGTATTTCTTTGTTTCCTAAGTTGGCATAAAAACAAAGCACTAAATTATTCCAATTTAAAACTCGTGTTCTCTCAATAAAATGCCGCTCAGCATGTTCACTGTTATGGAAAACATTAGTGTTACTCACTTACCGCTTAGCAGTCCCAGCTATGTCTCTTGTATAATGTGTGATAACATACATCATTTGATGTTAACAGTTTGCACCGTTTGAGTTTCCTTAACTTACATTTCCAAACAGTTATTTTTGTTGCACTTCCTGGATGAGACAAAACACGATATGTCAATTATTAGTCCGCTGTGCAGGAAAATAACTGATGTGTGGCTGTTGTTTTTGCTCCTAGGTGGTAGGCCTGTATCGGTTATGTGGCTCAGCAGCGGTTAAGAAAGAGCTTCGAGAGGCGTTTGAGAGGGACAGCAAGGTTGTTACTCTCTGCGAAAGCCAGTACCCAGATATTAATGTCATAACAGGTAACACATTTACTTGTTTTAATGTCAATTGTGCCATGTTCCTAACATAGTTTTTAAAAGGTGTGTTTGTGCTCTGAACTAGTTTTCTGTTGTCATTAACAAGCTGTTAACTGCTGCTTTGTATTGCTGAAGGTGAGTGCATAACCTTGAGGATGTGTCATTATGAAGCAGCAGTGATTTGGAGGGAGGAGGGTGTGGAAAGAGCCCCTTCCAGTGGCTGCTTTGCCGATACAGAGAGAAGCGAAAGTCTGAAAGGAGCTGAGGTCCCTGAAGCAGATTAAACCTCTGCTGTTGGTTTGTGTTGGAGCAGATCTTGAGAACCCTGGTTGTCGTCAGACACATCTGCTGTGTGGGTCGCTCTACATCGTGTGATCCAAGGGCCATCTCGGATCAACTTGTTGTCCTCCCTTTATGTTGGAGATGGCAGGATTTTTGGAAACAGATATCCCATCACCTTGCGCAGCCTAGTTAGAGCTGCAGGAAAGTTCCTTCATTTAATCATCTGCTTCTTTTAAAACATAACTGAATAGCAGCTTTCTCCTGCTCACTGGAGTGGCCCTTTACTTGCTGTCAGGCAGCAAGCTCTTGGCAAAGGTGAGAAGGTCTGGGAGTGCAGGAACAGGAGAAGGTCTTAGGAAGCCTGTCTGCATCTGCACTAGCTCTTTACATGAGTGTTTACACAGGAATTGCACTGCACAGTTGAAGCAAGTTGTTCATGTTTTGTTTGCTTAAAAGTAGAACAGTTTTATAACTATTGATACTTGTTATGTAAACCAAAGTTGATCTAATTTCAGGCATCACTGAGTAAATAGATTGCTCCAGGATATTAGGCAGGAGCATTCATTTCCTACATATCCAGGGATGGAAAATGCAACAGTAGACAGTATAAGTTTTCTGTGCCAAAGCTGCCTCTGTAACATCCAACATCCAGCTGTACAGGACAGTTCTACTCTGTTTGGTGGTTTATTTCATTTATTTCATTTCACTGTATTAGGAATGAATTTTGTTCATTACACTTTATAATTACACAAAGTGATATCTATTGGAAGATACTACTGGGTGACACTTACTGGGTTAAATTGGTTCGGAATGGCCAGCTGGTCAGTTTGCCTTACTTGCCTTGGCTGATTTCACTGTTGAGTTCAGTGTTGCTCACAAGTACTGGCGTTCCCAGAAACACAGAGAAACTAGTGTTTATGTTTCACTCTGATGGGATACACCCTTTGTAGAGGAGGTGTGCAGAAAAAGTAGATAGTATAAAAGATCTTTTGAACTTGATAATTTTCTTGTCTTTACAAATAAATTAATGAGAAAAAGTGGTGATAACTTGTAAGATCAGATTTTTCCGTGAAATTATTGAAGTTCTGTTTTCTTCCTGGTTTCATAAACCTCAGAAGGAGGGCAAAAAAACCCCTCTATTGCTTTCTGCCAAACAGCAGAAACTGTTACTGACTTGTTGCTATTTGGTTAATGTAAACTTTTGGCTAATGGAAAACCTAGTTTTTGGGGTTTTTTTCAATTTTGGAATAGCAGCAATGGCATTGCTCTCCCGTGCTACAAGTAATTGTTGCAATAAAACAGTATTTGCAGGAACAGTTCAGGAGTACCATGGGAAAGTCTGTGAGAACTTGATTGTTTTCCATATGCAAAAGAACCTGTAAAATGTCATAAGCATTTTGGTTTTCCTGAGTATATTGTACACTCGGAACCAAACAGAACTGGCTGAAACTGAAGCCTGAAGTGCAGGAAGGCTCTGGGAGGGCAGCAGCGCAATCCAGCTGATCTTTCCATCACGAGTTATGGTGCAGTGGTTAAATAGAAAAGTGTACTTCAGTTTTTCAATATACATTGCTGCAAGCCTCATTGGTGATGGTGACAGTGCAGCTCCTGCTAAAAAAATGTCCTTTTTTGGTTTGTACTACTAAAGGATAATTTTTGCATCCAGAATTTGTATTGTAAGCCTGAAAAAACTACAGCTTCGGTGTCTGTCTGATGGAAGGACTACTGGGTATGCTTTTGTATATGTTACGTTGTAAGAGTTTACTTACATGCTGCTTTCCTTACAAGGAAAAAAATAGTTTTAAGAAATTACATTTAAAAAAAAATTAAATTATTTCCCCTGGTTCCTGGCAGCTGTGCTGTATGATTGCCTGTAGTGCCTGTGTTGGAGTTGAAAGGACTGAGTGCAGGGGTCCTGTGAGAGTTTTGGGGAGCAGGGAGGGAAAGGGTGTTTGCATCTATAACTGCCACTGACCAAAATGCAGCCCACTCTCTGATTATTGTGAACAGCGTAGCCTGGACTGAAAGAAGAACCTGCAGTTTTTGCTGACAGACCTGAGGTGCCCACTGTGCTTAGTGTGAGGATTAAAAGAGCCCACTGAACCTCTCTCATATTTCCATAGGGAGCTGCGTTGAGAGGGAATGTTTCCCCTGATATGTTACTGCTGTATCTGTAATGCTGAGGCTGATGCACATGATTCGTACTTTATAAGCCAAAACGTGTTGCATAAAATATGAATCCTCAGCATAAATCTTGGCTGATGTGAAGTGCTGCCTTTTGTCCTGTTTGAAATTTGGGTAGCGCTGCTTTTCCAAAAGATTAAAAAGACTTTTTTTTTTTTTTTTTTTGACGGCTCTCTGAAGACTGAAGAATGAATATTTAATGATTGAATCTTGACTGCGAAATGCTCTTGGGATTGGCACAGGCTTGCAAACAACTAAGTGTGCTCATGGCTCAAACTGAAGCCTGCATCCTGTTTTTGGAACTGACCAGTAGTTATGTTTTTGCCTCATGTCTATTCACATCCACGTGAATTCATATCTCTGCATAAAGCATGCAATGCTGTTAACAGTTCAGTGAGCCAGAAAAATGAGGAATTAATGAAGTGGATGGCAATTTCTGCTCGCTGTCTAAATTTGTTGTGTGTGGTTGTGTCAAGGGGAATGTGCTAGTGGGCTGGCAGCAGTGGGAAGCATAGATTTGTGGAAAAAAATAACAGCAGACTCTTACAGGGCTAATTTATTTGAGTGAATAGCAAAAGGATTTAGAAAGGTCAAGGGGCATTCATGGCTCCCAAACTATCTTGTTATTCGTGGCTGAAGAGGAGAAAGTCCTTTAGCAGGTGGTGGTTCTATGACTGTGGATGCTCTTACAGGAATTCCTACTAAATTATTATTAATAGATGGTTGTGAGTGTTTCAAGAGTATAAGCTGATTTGATTACGACATAACATTTCCTACTGTAAACTGATTCTGATTTCAGCCTCCCCCTCCAAAAAAAAAAACAACCCACAGTTGAAACAAAGATCTTGATAAAAGTCAGCATCTCTTGCTAGTGCTCAGTTTCAGCCAGTGTCTCCTGTGGCTGTGAATTACATTTGTCACAGCAGTGGCAAGTGGTGTGCTGAGGGGATACAGTGTACCCTGAGGTAGGGTGGAGTTGGTGCTTTCCTCTTGAGGACATCTGTTTGGTTTGTGCTTTGGTAGGTGAGGAAATGCTGTGTGCTTCAACAAACCTGCCACTGGCACTAGGACTTTTGCTCATAATTTTATAGCTGAAAATAAACCAAACAAAAAAATTAATTGCCAGTCATATATAAAGGAGGAGGTGTCATCAGGCTGAAGACTTTAGTGTTTGTAGGAGCTCCTTTCCTTAGACAGGAGGTGGACTGCTAAGAGCCCTTCCCTTGCCTCTCCCTTGCCCCATTCAGGAGGCGGAGCTGGAGAGATGCTCCCCTGTGCCCAGTGTACCTGCTCCCATGCACACAGCAGCCCCTGCACACACCCTCTTCTCTGGAGGCTGTGCACCTTCCTCCCCTGGTTTCACCCCTTAGTTCATGAAGAGCTGCCTTGCATGGGCTTGAAGAAGCTGCCAGGACTGTGGGGCCAAGGCTGCTGGTGCCCCTGGCCTTGTGGGGATGTTGCATAAACACCTCCCGCCTCTCAGCTGGCCCTGTGGGGATCCCTCACGTACCCATCCTTCACTGTGCTGTCGTCCTCCCATCCCTGGCACCCGAGTGTGAGGTTTGTCATTGACACGGAGGATTTCCTCATGGGACGGGCGAAGCTGATGTGCCTTAGTGCTCCCAAAAATTGCTGGAAAGTCAATCTGCAGCTTGTTAAAGGCAACTGTTCTTGTGTCTCTTGTGAAGGTGTCCTAAAGGACTATCTGCGAGAGCTGCCCTCTCCACTAATAACCAAGCAGCTCTATGAAGCAGTGTTGGATGCCATGGTGAAAAATCCCTTGAAAATGACAGCAAGCGGTTGTGAGAATGACCCGAGTGACTCTGAGCACACAGCAGCCCTTCTGGATTGCCTGCCAGATGTTGAGAAGGTGAGTGGTGTTAGCAGGTTCACATAATTTGGATGCTTCAGAAAATAAAAGAATGTTTTCACATGTGTCAAAATATGTACACCTGTTTCCTGACTTAACAGTCCACTTGGATTTTTGATGCTCCACATCTTTTAAAATACTTCCATGCTGTGATTAATTGGAGGGTCTACATTGCTGGATTTATTCTAGTTTGTTTTTTATATTGTCTCTACAAAACTGAGAAGCTGTGATCACTACTTTCACATTGATAGATTGAAGATTATCCCCATGTGGTGTCCTGCTCCATTTCTGTGGAGCTCTCTGATCTAGATGTCATAATTATGCAAATGCATTCCTCTTATCCTAAGTGTGTGCAATTAAGCCTTCACTTCCCATACCATGCAGTGTAGTGGTGCTGTGTGCTGTTACCTGCCAAATTCACCCCTGTAGAAAACCAGGGTTAGCCCCTTTCTTGGGGGAAGAGAATGAGCAAGTGCCCTGCATGGTACCTGGAAGTTACTTGGAAGCTTGTTCCGATGCTGAGGTCATATTGAGGGTTTCTTTATTTTCTAATGTACCTGGATGACCTGCACTGCTTCTGCAGCTTCTCTCCCCTCCCTCATGTCCCCTTTCCACTGTGAGAAAACTAATCCATATAAAACTGAGATCAGGTAAAAAACAAGCTGAATTTTACCAGAAAGTCTGTCCTAACTAGTCTGCTCAGTGATAGTATAATACAGCTTTTCTAATGCAGTACTTAGATTTTCCATTGATGGGTGTTGGTAGAAAAAACAGAGCTATTTGCCCTGATCTTATCTCTCTAGAGCAGACACTGGGATGTCAGCACCACCTTCATTTAGTGTTTTGTTTCCTGAGCAGTATTTTGTTCTTTTAGGCTACCCTGAAGATGTTGTTGGATCACCTGAAACTGGTGGCTTCTTACCACGAAGTCAATAAGATGACGTGCCAGAATTTAGCTGTGTGTTTTGGGCCCGTGTTACTGAGCCAGAGGCAGGAGACCACCAACCATAACAACAGAGTCTTTACAGACTCAGAAGAGCTTGCTAGCGCCCTGGACTTCAAAAAACACATAGAGGTTCTTCACTATTTGCTCCAGCTGTGGCCAGGTACTGTTTCATGAGTCCGATCAAGGGAAAATGTCAAACCATTACTGTGTGTTTTTACTGTGTGACAGAGTATGTTAATTCACAGGATGACTGAGCAGCATTGGAATTCTTAAAACACAAGAATTGTTCCCCAAACTCCCTTCTTAATTGTTCCCAGAACACCCTAAGTACTTTTTAGTTCTTACTTCCAAACTTAAGAGGTCATTTGCTTTCACACGATTTTGTGGTCAATTCTCAGTAAGAAGTGATGTGAAATTCTAATCTTCCTAATAAATTACCAAAGTAGAAGTGAAGGTAACTATTTCTGCTAAAATCTGCCTTTCAAATGGAAGATGATTGCAGTGTTCATGTTTCCCTGGTATTCAGGGAGACATAAAGACAGTGGAAATAGTCAGGATGACATCTGGAGCCCTGGGTTTCAGCCCGTGGCGAATTCCTGTGTGTTGCTGCTGCTGAAC